TCGAAGCGAGAAGAAATGTTGTCGGGTGGATAAGTTACAGCGCAGTTTTATTAGTTTAACAGCCCCTGCTGTTGGTTCTTGTTTCAAATACTAGTAACCCTTCAGGGACCTTGTATAGACCATGAGTATACTTGTATACTTCAATGAGATCCCAATGCAGACATCGATAACTGAGGCTTGGAAGCTTCATAATCTTTAATCTTTCTTCATAGGACTTGCCCTTCAAGCCAGGAATTATCCTTGTTGCACGTCTTTGAACCCTCTCTATTAAATTTTTGTCCTTTTCAAATTTTGGTGACCACACGAGGTTCCCAAACTCTAGATTCGGGCGCACAACAGCGTGAAATCTGACCGGCGCACACATCTGCAGACTGATACGGTCAGATTATGCAATTACGCACGTCACTGTTGGCGTGATTCCGGAAGTTATATTTGACCGAAAACAGCAATCGGGACCCACACCGAACTAACAAGTGCAACGCAGCCCCCCATTTGAAATGAGTATTTAGTGGCTACCAGACAATAAGAAGCCATTACTTAGTGCTTAGTCAGCCGTTAATTGCTCTAATCTGTTCAAAAATTGACTACACGTCAGGTTTTTTCCTAACTCCAACACAGATGCAAAAGCTTGAAAGAGTTTAGTACCTGTTACATGCAGCACAAGCCATATGCTGGACACGAACAAAATTGCTAGAATGGCATTCTTGGTGCCTCCAAATTCAATGATCAACGAATATCTCCCAAACTAATGAACGCAGTTCTATGAAGCTTTGTACCAGCAGAACAGATTTGAACGAAATTTTGAATATACATTCCTAACTACTAAACAGTGATGTTTTTCTTGTGAAAATTTCGATGTTTTACTCGTGCAAACGAGTTTTATTCGTGAAAACGAGAAATGTTTTACTCGTGAAAACTTTTCGATTTTGCCTTCGCTAGCAAGTTTTTTCAATTTCACTGTAATTTGTAATTAATTCAGTTAAATGAATGAACTTACATAATGAAGACAGAGCATCTGGCGATAATACAGGAGAATCAGCAATTCAAAAATTGCTGATTCAAAGCTTTCAAATTTCAAAAATTCAAAGCTGTCACAACGTTACAGATTCTTTTACTTCTGTTAAAGTTAAAGATGAGTATCAGTATTTTTAAGGGTGGCGACTTTAACTGCAGTGATGAATCGTGTGTCATTAAATGGACTCCTCTCCCGTTTTAAATCTTCTTCATTTCCGATAAGCCGCTAATGTTGACAGATTTAGCATACATGTTGTTAATTAACACCAATTTATGTTTAAAGGTTCAGTAAACTCAGGAGTTTCTGGAGAATTGCAGCATCTTTTAATTTTTCCGAAAAAGCATTACAGTTTTAATATCAGTTCTAATATATAATACAGTTTTATTTTTAATATAAAATACAGTTTTATTTTTAATATACAATATTATAATATGAATTTTCAATTCATAAAAAATTCATATCTTTTTCATTTTTTGACTTACTTCACTCATACTTATATGATATTTTTCTAAATTTTTTTCTCTTTTCAGTGGTGTAATTTTCATTACGATCAAAGGAAAAATTTTTTTTTGTGCACATACCTACAAACAGTCCAAACTTAGTACTCACGACTCACCGGAAAAGAATCCATAAGAACTATTTCTTCACGGTGATAAATGGTTGGATCAAAAAGTCTTCAGTGGCTATTGGTTATCAAACAATCAAGCTACACCGGCTTTTAGCCAAAATTTGGCATCAGCAACAAATACAATAATTACAGCAACCGCAAAGAAGTGATTCATACATAATCAGCTGATTCGCAGACACCTGTTCCAGAGTCCGGATAAGTTTGGGACACCTAAATTAAAACCCGGAAATTGCGGAAAATAATATTAAACATGAATCAATGTTTTTTATTCGAATTATTCAATAAATATAAGAATATATTGAATTATTCATTTCAATATAAGTTTCTACTACCAAATTTGCCTACGTATTAAAAACGCAAGGTTGTGCACGAGCTTGAAAAGGTTTAATCGAGATAATTGCTCGAGTGAAACAATTTAAGAATATGTAACTACACGTAATAGATGATCAAAGAGTTTTTGTTCGAGGTAAATGAAAAAAAATGTCCTTACGGCAAAATAACGTTAGAGGCTCATATCAGAGGTCGTTTCACCGAACTGCCGGACAGAAGTGCTAAAATGAGACAGCAATGTACAGTGTTCCGAATCAAAGGCTCTGAAACAATGCTGCGGACTGCGTGGTATCTGTTTGGGAGTTCTGAGTAGCTAAAGCACGTGTCTAAGGCACGTGAAGGAAAGTACCACGAGTGCACGGTCTTCAATTAAAAAATTATTTCTTAGCAAGTCAGCAAAATTTCGCAGATAAGGTGATTAACTTTCGCATAAAAATGCCATTCAACCAAAGCAAATAGAGAATGCAAAATCTAAACAAACTTTCAATTCATGTAATTTTTCATAAATAGAAATTTCATAAGGTACCAAAATTTTAACACTCAGTTGCAGCCCCTTCCTAAATTATTGTATAAGACTTCCATGATTTGGCAATGAAAGATAAAAGTAGAGCAATTTTAAGGCATTTGGTCAACGTAATTTTTTTGTTTTTTATTTTTGAAGTGAAGTAATTTTTTTTATTTTGAATACCATATTGATAAAACTCGTACTTAAAAATTTCTTGAAGACTCTTAGCATTGAAAATGGGAAGCGAAGTTTTTTAGGTGCGAGCAGAAGTACAGAACTTGATATCAGCCTTGAGTTTGTTATACTCGTCGAGCAGGGCGAGATAGGACGGGTCCAGATGCGTGTATGGCTCCAGGTCATGCTGCAGTTTAGCGAGCTCCTGAGACGCGATGCGACTGCGGTCCTGCAGACGTAGTGACATGCCACGCAGACCTGCCATGACTGATGGCGTGTATGTTCGGCACAAGATCTGCAGCTCTACACATCTTTGGGGGGGGAAATATTCTGTTAAAACAAACGTAGGTACGTTATGTACGGTATCTGCAGCTATACACATTTGGGTGGGAAATACAGTTAAAACAAATGTGCCATATACACGGCATGTTCAGCTATACACATTTGCGTGGGAAATACAGTTAAAACAAATGTGCCATATTTATGATTGTATCTGAAATTGTTAGGCGAAAATAGCCTGCATGCCGAATTTCAGATCTCTAGAGCAATCAGAAGTGGGCTAATTTTCGTTGTCAATTTTAACAACAAACAAACAAACGCGAAGCTAAGCTAAGAAAAACGTTTTAACAAACGTACGTAATGCATTGCATGTTCAGCTATACACATTTACGTGGTGGCACAATACAGTTAAACCGAATGTGCCATATACACGGCATGTTCAGCTATACACATTTGGGCGGGAAATACAGTTAAAACAAATGTGCCATATACACGGCATCTGCAGCTATACACATTGGGGTGATGGCAACACACAGTTTAAAAGAATGTACCATATACACATCTGCAGCTATACACATTCTCGTGGTGGGAAAATACAGTTAAAACGAATGTGCCATTTGCACGGCATCTGCAGCTACTCACAAGTGTGCAGTGAGGAAGTACATATATTGGTAAAAAGAATGTTCTGTTCAAAATCAACTGCTGTTAAAATTCGTGTCGAAAAAAATAACTTTCTTTAAATAAGCATCCGCATGAGCTGTTAACATCTTCGTAATATAGAAGGCTGAACACAAACAGTATTATACAACTAAACGCTTTCGCATCCAACCGGCCTACAAGCGATAATACCATAAGTCCAGTATAACGAGTTAAATAGGGTCTTGCATGCTGGTATGCAATTCAAATTCAAGTGCATGAACAAAAAAACTAGTTCATATAATAACGACGTTTGAAGGAACATCAAATTGGAAGTTCAAGTCATAAATTCAATGAAAATTCGAATGCAAATTAAGTGATTAAATAGTTTATACTGACTTTGCATGAAAATGTCTCGTAAATATGTCTCTGCAAATGTTTAAGGTAAGTCAGAATATAAAATACAATAAAATCCTACAATAAGAGAATAACAATTCAAAGTCACAATGGAATTTAACTAATAATGAATCCAATATACAAGCAGTCAAACCAAAGTGTGCTGACGTTGTGCAATAAGTGAGTCACTTGAGCTCGTCTGATGTAAAGATGATCAAGAGCCCGACCTGAGTCAACAACAACAAAAAATTCAATTTTCAAAAACATAAAATTCAACAACAATTCGAAATTTCAATTTCTATACAACAGAAAAATTCTCATAATCATACACAAAAGAAGCTTTGTGACCTGAGTTTGTGGTGCTGAGTGTGCAGAGCAGTGCAGAGATGCAGCAGGTTGTGATATGGCAGCTGAGAGAGTCGTCTCTTCTTCACCAAGTCGCTCAGTAACGTCCCATACTCGACCAACTGTCCGTCCACCTGTTATGATATGCGAGAAGAGAGCTTGTCAATTTGTGAGTCAAGACAATGATTTGATTAACGAGAATTCGAGCTTTGAAGGTTTATTTGAATTTGTTACTTTTGGTGTAATTTAAAGGAGGATCAAAGTTGCAAGTTAATTATCAAGTATAAAATAGGTTTTTTAACATCGAGTTACATTCATGGACAAGCTGATAAAAAGTTCGGAGTCTTTTTCTACGTTACAAAATAAGGAAGAGACATGCTGACACCGACGACAGAGGGCAGCGATTGTCCGGCCAATTTGCGTTCACCAATGCAGGAGGAGTGCATGCAGTACCTGCAGCAGGAGGACGTGTGTGATGATGCAGGAGGAGTGCATGCAGTACCTGCAGCAGGAGGACGTGTGTGATGATGCAGGAGGAGTGCAGGAGGCGGGCGCTGCTGCAGCACTGGTCGCTGAGGCTCAGCAGGCGCGGCACGGCCGTCTCCTCACCAGCAGCTGCTCACCACACCAGGCGCGTGTTATACCGCTTAGAAATACATTAGTTAAGGGCGCTAATTTAATGACACAAAAAGTTCAAACTGAAGAGCAAATTGAAGTTTATTCATGCATTAAAGTCACAACAAACATGAAATTGATTTCATGAATAAATGAATCAAAGGAATAAAAGACAGAAATATATCAGATTCTCAATTTTAGTAGGTATACTAATTTGTCAGCTGATAGTAGAAAAAAGCTTATCAATGTGCAATTATTGAAGATTTGAAATTGAATGAAGTTCATAGATATAAAAAGTTGCTCTGAACTGATTTCTTCTTTAAAACATCTTTAATTGAATCATGACCAAAGAGAACAATGTGATAAAAATCTTGTTAGTCTCTTGCTTTCTGTAGAGTAAGTAACTTTAGCTGTACGAGCTAAAAAAAGTACTACCAACAGTAGATACACGACATTACAGAAGGTATATAAATATATAGGTACATTAACACGTCTCAATGAATATGACTTCAATTACAGTGTAGAATAAGAATGTGACTTAAGTTTGTAGCCGCGGACACTCACAGTCGTCAGGCAGGAGGATACAGGATCGGATTTTTTGCCAGGCAGTCACGATGCGGTCGCTGGTGTGTTGTGCCAGCAAAGAAGAAATTCTGCTGCCAGCACAGAGTCTGGCTGCTTTTTCCGTCAGTGTTTTAGGACTGCACAGCTTATAAGTCACTGGGTCCCGAACCCTGTAGAGGGAAAATGATAATGCAGGCAATTGAAATGTGAGCACATATGAAATCAGCTATTTAAAGTTAAGTCTAACTGCTACCATAAATAAGATAGTGTTTAATTGATTTTGGCATTTAATTGATCTTAGATGGGAAGGCTATTATTATAAAAATCAAATTCGATCCATCAGATCCATTATTCAATAAACAATAGGCAAAAACAGAAAAATTTGGTATCAAGGCATTCTGAAAACAAAAACAATAATTGAAAATTAATCATATCTCACAATGATTATCAATATCGAAGCTTACTTTTCAGGTTTGTACTTGAGAGCATTGGCAACTTCAGAACAAGGTTTGTTATCACAGCAAGAACAGATATTATCAGAGGAGCTGTGTGTAGAATTATCAGCAAGCCGACCCATATTAGAACTCTTGCTGCAGTTCATTAAAGAGCTCAGTCCTGCATAAGAGTTGTGGCTGCTACTCTCAGAAGAGATGTGAGAATGAGTGCTGCTGTTGAATGTTTTACTGATGGCCATGGCTGTGAGAGGTGGAGTGTCGTCTGTGTTGCTGTTGTGATCAGAATTTGTGGTTGCCTCCTGGGACTTGAATGGAAGCTTCAATGAGCCTGTAAGCTCCGCTAGAGCATACAAGTCTTCTATCGGTTGCAAAACCTGGAAATAGAACACATTTCACTAATATAGAAATTTAATTTAGACAATAGATTATAAAATTATAGGTATAACATTTTTGGCCTGGTTTGAAATTAGAAAGTAAGCTCACATTTGGAGCATTTGTTGACCGTATGGCAGATAACATGTAGTGGGACAGAGCAGCTTGTTCCATGTATGCCAACCTGAAGCAAAAAAAAAAAAAAAAAAAAACTCACAGAACGAAAAACATACATATATATATATATATATACAAAAAATTGAAATTCATTCAAGTGAGAAGCTAAAAAAAGAGCATGTTAGAAATTTTGCATAGAGAGGTGGTTAAATAAATGAAAAAGAAGCAATTTTGATAATTACTAATATCAAAGCTTTCTTGATCTCAGCTAAAAATTAAGCTTTACATGTAACCTACAATATAGTGGGTATTGAATGAAATTAAACCATCTAATTTCATACAATTTATACTTTATAGTTAATTATAATATCCTACATCAGTTCAGATACTCATCTATGAAGCCGAGAGCATAAATAACCAAAAAGATCAAAGCTTGGAAACAAACCAGGTATCATCTGGCAAAGATCTATGGACTACTTAATTTGGTTCAGATTATGAAGTGAGAGAATACTTACATGAGAATACTTAACTCCACATGGAAAGACAACTGTTGGCTCCCTTTAGAGTCATTCAGTAACATTATAAAGAATATATAGTCTCTTGCATGGAACATCTCAATTATTGTTCCATAAAGTTATACCGTAATATTCTTATATGCTCTCATTATACAAAGATATTTTAATATGCACAAGTTTTTGTGACACCAGGATCCTTGTGTCTGTTCAATGAGGCAACATTGTCAACCCATTTAAGTTGCACTTGAACAGGATTAGATTAATGGCATCATTTTTACATTTTTTATATGGGTTTATATTATTAGAATCCTTTTATAGACACTTTCATTGTACCCTAATGGATTTATACTCACAAATATAATTAAAAACTCATTTCCAAGATGATAAATATTTCAGAGAGCACCTTAGCCACTTAATGAAAATTTGAGAATAATTAGTGCAAATTAATCTAGTTTAGAGTTTAGAAACAAAAGTTTTTAATAAAATATGATATAAAATTCAGATGAATAAAGGTTTAATTTAGATTTTTTGATACAGGATAATAGCTTGAGGAATGAAAATATTCCAAAAATTAATTTAAATCAACAATTTCTTCATGAGTTCATTAAGTTAACAAATAAATCATTGCAAACCTTGCATGTTTTAGAGCAGCGGTGGCATTGTTCAAATGTTGTTGGGTGGATGAGCGCACAGCAGTTGGCGTGAGGTGCTCAGTGAGGCTCTCCAGCAGTTGACCAAGCTGGGGGTTGTTGGTCACAGTCTCTACACTGATGTGTATTGGCAGGCTTTGGCTCACTGAAAAATATATGCACATTGAAAAAGGACAGAAGTTACAGAGTATTCCAGGGGGCAGGAAGAGGCCGGTAGGATGTATACATTGATGATACAGAGAGGTGAGCCAACAGAACTTACTGGAGTGAGCATGGATGGTTTCAGCAGACGTGGGAAACTTTGGCAAGCAGCATATAATTTAGTTGCCACTTGCCGGTAAATATTACTTAAATCTATATTATTTATACTTCTTATGCCCAAGTACCTTTTAGGTCTCAGTTAAAATTATACTGCAAACAAAATTCTAGTTAAATCTGCTACCTTTCCTGCATAGTACATTAACCTGAAAGTCTATTATATACAAAAAAAAGATTGAGATAAGGTTAGGTAGGTAATTTTCTTTACATTCAAATTCCTTGAAATTTTTCAAGCAATTCAAGTAAATGAACTGATATAAACTTGTATTTGACCTAGAAAGTAGAAGGGCTTCAAAATTCAATTTGAAACAGTAAACTGATTGTATTTAATAATTTTAATTTTGGTTCAACTTTGAACATGAAAGGAAAGAGGGTAAACACGCCATATTCTGACACTGTGGGTAATTCTGACACCCCTCAACTTTTTCCTTTATATTAAGCTTGGTCTTAGTTCCACGCATGCATAGATGGTTGAAATAGTGACGTCATCCTATTGCGTGCCAAATTTCCGCAAAACACTAGGTCTAGCAGGAAAATGTTAAGATCCGCAGAGTGAAAGTCCAAGTCAACTAGTGAGAACATCGAAACAAGTATGAAAGTTGATAGTTGACCTTGCTTCACTAAATAGTGATAAACTGTTTGTGTAGAAAGAATATTGTGGTTTGAGACTTTTAAATAAGTCTGTGAATATATTAGAAATCCCCTAAGTACGCTTGTATTTGCTGATTTTAAGTGGTAAATACTTTAATAGATGATTGATTTAAAAAACAGTTTTAGATACATAAAAACTAATTCTGACATGGTGTCAGAATTACGACAAACAGCCATGACTGGCACAACACAGGGTATTGTATTCCGACACAGCTCACACAGGATGTCGAAATTACAACACAGGGTGTCAGAATTACGAATTTGAAGAGCTGTCAGAATTCATCTCACAATATGCTGCATTTAGTCACACAGTGTCAGAATTTAGCGATTTTGTAGATTTGAATTCTAAAGGCTTTTAAATAAATATGGCAACAGTTTGTGATGTTTCATCATTGCTGGCACATAGTGTGGTGTTTTGAGAGTGACGTAATCCAATCAGAACTCGAGTTGCGCATACAGTGATCTATTTATAGCCATTTATTTCTTGCTAGGCCCTTTAGGTGTCAGAGTAGGGTAAACGCACCATTTTCCGACATTGTGGGTAATTCTGACACTTCTCAACTTTTTCTTTTATATTAAGCTTTGTCTTAGTTCTATGCATGCGTAGATGGTTGAAATAGTGATGTCATAACCGTATGTACCTATTGTTACTGTTGACTTAGCATGATAACTACAATAAAGATGTGACTTTGAAATATCTGTTGAATAGGTTTTAATGTCAATTTCATAAAATAGGCCTACTCATTTTTCTGATGGATTTGAATGAACTTACATAATGAAGACAAAGCATCTGGCGATAAAACAGGAGAATCAGCCCGCATGGCTAAATATGATATACAAACTAGTAATAAATAAGGCTGATTTATTCTATAAATACCGACTACATGATTGACTGGTCTATGTATTCCATTTCCAGTTGATTTCGTCTAGGTACAGCCTCTTTCTTTCTTTCTTTTATTTATTCTTATAGGAGCACTGGAAACTAGTCCATAAAGCCCCTTGCCTAAACTGGGTTTAATTAGTACCTAACTGTTTTAACAGCTCTGAAAACGAAAACCTGAAACAGAGAGAAAACACACACACGGAAAAAAGAAAAAACAAATAATAATATTAATAAATAACTGAATAAAATAAAATTATACAAAAATTAAACGTAGACAAATAATAAGGATAAAGCAGTGAATGAAATAAAGATTAGAGTAAATAACAAGAACAATGAAAATTAAAAAGAAAAATATGTAAAGAAATAAAAAATAATGATAATTTTATTGATAAAATAAAATAAATAAAAAATAAATAAAAATTAAGAATTAAAAAGTATAATAATAAAATAAAATAAATAAAAAGAAAAAATAAAATTTGAAATAAGAGAAAAAAAAATTAAAAAAAACATGCTAGAACAAAAGAACAATACAATATAAAATGTAATAATATAACAGCATGGACAACAAACCCGATTAAGTGCACATGACATGGCGACATGCACTGCACTCCACGGGCGCTCCAAGGCTCCGCTGCAGAACACAGCCCGGCCGCGGAACACGACCAAGCCGAGGAACGCCGCAGAGCCGAGGGACAAGTCAGAGCCGTAGAGCATATCTTATATCTATATGCACAAACATCTATATCTATACAGCATATCATGTCTCTATATATACACATGGACCTCTTCAGGGCTCAGAGAGGCGGCCCAACAACTTTGGATGCTACCACTACCGGCACTACGGTCAGTTATCAGGTAAGTATTCTTTTCAACAATTCTAGTTCAAATCTAGTATTAGTTGTCACAGTCACACCCATGCCCTACAGCCCTAACTTGCGCCACACATGAGAATGATGAGATCATTATGCTAACTGAAGGTCTAGCCTGGGTGGGGGAAGCCTGGAGCTTCTTTGGACTTGACAGCGAAAGGAACACCGAACAAAGATGAACTTTGATTGCAAAACAAATAAATTAAACACAATCTCCTGTAGGTGGGGTTATGACCGAGGCTAGGGAAGGCTTGGTAAAGTGGGATAAGAATAGCACTCCTCACAAAGGCAGTCCCTACTTACATAAACTAGTCATTCCTAAATCCATTAAAACTGCATAGAGTGCTCTTCTTTCCATTATCAAAACACTCAGTTGAGTGTGGGAAGGAATTTAAATTTAGATTGTTAGTTCCCACAAGTGTTAGGTGAATTTATTCTACTAAGGGTTAGAATACCTAGTGACTAGGCCAGTAACAAATTTATCATCAAACTGATCAAAGTACCTCTACCTGAAGCATATTGGTAGAAGTTAAAAAGGAGGCAACTGCATCAACAATTGCATCCTGGGTGACATCAGAAAAGGGACCTCCTCCGGCCTCCCAGCAGATTCTTTAAATTGACTGGAACATGAAGTGCAGTTAATGCAGTAGTAACTAGTAAGATTTGTACGAGCAGAGGCATGAATTGGACAATTCAGCAGCAGGTGATGAATGGCTTCTGGAGACCCACAAGGACATAAGGGCTGTCAACCATGTTGAAACGAGCTAGGTGGGCTTTCACTCCAGCATGACCAGTGCGCAGTCTGGCCAGGGCCGTCTCCACGGCTCGATTTTTGTTGTGGGCCCATGACCAATTGCCCACTTCCCGGTACTGACTAAAACCCGGACCCGGACCGGTCCGCCGGACCCGGACCAAGTGACTAAAACCCGGACCCGGACCGGTCCGCTGGACCAGGTTCACAGATATTAAAGGCTGCAAATCATCTGAAACGTCGAGAAAAACTTTTAATTTTACATACAAAATTTTCATATTTACTTACAAAAATTTCGTCGCACCACCACCATATGAGGGTCACAGAAAAGTACAATTTACGATCGAACTAATCGATAGAGAATGTTCTGAAACGTCTAGAGAACATAAAACTTTCTTGACGAATTTTTGAACATATACTTGGAAAAATTTCATGTCAGGTCCGGGTAGCCCCGGACCAAGTGCCCCGGACCCATGTATTCGGGTCGCAAAAATTTATTTATCGATCGAACTAGTCGAACACATTACAACTATACGATCTTAATTTCCTTATTTTCTTCACTTCATTTCTACATTATATTCTACCAGGGAGAAAATCATCCTGACACTCATCTAGGGCTACTGAATAGACGGAAGGCACTCAGCGCTAACTCTTATATTTTCAGGCTTTGCTGCTGTACTTGCACTGTTGTTTCAGTTCTTTATGCTATACGCATTGTTCCCATCAATAAGTGACAATAACACAACACACAAGAAATTTAACATAGCATTTGCCGTCCTCGGAACATACCAAATGTTGAGGCTTTGCACGAAACATAGCTTATTGAGCTTTGCACCGCATGGCATAAATTCGTTGTACCCGCATTCATTACATTTGTTATTGACAGAGGTGGGCAGTAGCACGCTACATGTAGCGGCCGCTACTATAAACCGCTACATTTTCAGTAGCGGCAGCGGTAGCGGCGCTACATTTAAGCAATTGTAGCAGTAGCGGTAGCGCCCGCTACATATTTAAGTAGCGATACGAGGTTTTGCCGCTCCAGCGCTACCGCTACATTTATAGATAAAGCCTTTAGATTTTACTTAATAGTATTAAATATTATTTAAAAACCAGCATGATACATACATAATATAAATTTCAGAATAAAGCTGTACGAAAGATTTCGGTGCAATGTTGTCAACCTCAGCCTGTTAGTAGTGTCATCATATTAGTTGTTACCAGAGGTGGGCAGTAGCGCGCTACATGTACCGGTAGCGGCGCTGCATTTAAGCAAATCTAGCGGTAGCGGTAGAACCCGCTACATTTAGAGCATGTAGCCGTAGCGGCCGCTACATTTCAAAGTAGCGCTGTCCAGCTCCGCATACTTAAGTATTTTTGACTTTTAATCCTAGTAACAAGGCAGCACCGCGTCTCAATAATTTTTCATCAACTTATTCAGGGAAAGACTATGACAAATCAATCCTCCTATCGTATCTCTGTCTACTCAAGCTTATCAGGCGTACGTTGTTAGAATTGCGCTAATATAGCCGACGAAATTATAAGAAAGGAATATTCACACCTTCCATATTATAAGGGATTATTTTAATGATTATAATATACAAACACTGTAAGTCCAAGAAGCAACAGCCTTGAAATAAATATTTGTATCGTCAATATTCCTGACAACAAATAATATACAATCAGTATAAGAAGGAAAACACTTCCCAGCGCGATCGCTGCCGCGCCGTCAGACGCTTCTCGGTCCCCGTGTCTCTGTGGCATGTGGCGTCTGTGTGGTATGTGGGGTCTCTGTGGCATGTGGCGTCTGTGTGGTATGTGGGGTCTCTGTGGCCCCAGTAAATTTTCAAAAATTCGATAAGAAAGTTTTATGTTCTCTGGACGTTTCAGAACATTCTCTATCGATTAGCTCGATCGAAAAATGTACTTTTCTGTGACCCTCATATGGTGGTGGTGCGACGAAATTTTTGTAAGTGAATATGAAAATTTTGTATGTAAAATTAAAAGTTTTTCTCGACGTTT